TATATATATATATATATATATATATATATATGCTTGTACGTGAGATTGCGTATCTTTTGCGTGCATATGTGTCATGTAGCTTGTTACTAATAGTAGGTCAATTTACCAGCGTAGTGATTTTGATTTTGATAGGACGTGTATCAACTAATGTAGTTTTCTCTCTCTCCCTCTCTCTAATTCATTCAATTTTTCTTAATTCTTAAATAACGATGTTTTAATCAACCGCTGCTTCGAAATAGATTTTATGTTCAATACGAAAATAACAAATAAAAGCCGTCCGTTTATCTTTCTTGCCACCCCTTCCTCCTCCTCTGCCCGCTTCTACTCCTCCTTCTCTTCTTCCTCATTTTCCTACTACCACCACTTCTGCTCTCTTTCCTTCTTCAATTTGTTTATCTTCCTCTTTCGCTACTATGTGATATTTTAATTCGTCTTCACTTCCACTTCTCTTCTTATTTACTTGCTTTCTTCCCCACTCTTCTTTAATATCTTCTGACTTTACTTCTTTCTTTTTTACGTTTTCACTTTTTCTCTTTTTCTCTTTCTCTTCCTTCTTTTTAACTTCACATTCTCAATTCTTATCGCTTTCTCTTATTTTAAATTACACGCTCAAATATGGCTCAATGGTGAAGTCGCAGGGGCAAAAATGACTGCCGGGTTACTGAGGCTCGTTTGCATTGAGTCACATGAAAGAAATGATTTTATATTCCTACACTGAATATCTTTTCTCTCGCTTGCTAAAATAATCTTATCTAATTTCAGAGTCAATTATTTGTGTCTCTTTTTTACCGTTCCAGTTTGTACAGGTAAAAACGCCATACTAAATGCTATTAATAGACACTTATCTCTTCTTGATTTCAATTTTTATTTTATTTTTTCATCATTGCTTTTTTAATTCACGAACCATATTTTTCTTCCCACTTGTCGTTGCGCAAAGCCAAGAGATGATTTTGCTCCGAAAATATCACCCAGAAATTAATATTCGCAAACTATAATGAATAACGCTGTTTCAAAATTTAAATTTTAATCATTTATTTTTTTTTTTGGGGGGGGGTCAGATCCAACAGTAAAAGATATGAATTTATGAGCCTTCATCTGCCAACAGCTTTTAACCCTCCGCCCCCAACCTGTGCCAAGAAATTCATGAGAAAGAAGAAAAAAGGTGCATATGAAGTTGCTGCAGGAAGCTCCTTAGATTATAGTAGTCGGAGTAGTCCTCGATTTTTTCCTAAAATGACGCCTCTCTCTGCCCATGTGACCTCTTTCTTTCTCTCAATCTTTCCTTACGCGCTGATATATGAGTGCGTGCGCACGCGCAGTTTGGATCATCCTCGTCTGATTCAGAAAGGAATTTCATTGATGGTTTTAAATGATAGGAACCAAACTCAGTTCTCTGGGAAATTTCGAGCGGAAACCAATGATTTAAATTTAGAACTAGTTTTTTTTTTCTTTTTCTTCTTCTTTTTTTTTTTTTTAAGGAAAGATACGATAAAAATTTTATGGACCTTTCAAACATCAATTAATAGGATGGCATTATTTTCGCAAAGATTAAATTTTGGTTAGTGAATTTTTTCAGTCTCTCTTTCTCTCTCTCTCTCTCTCTCTCTCTCTCTCTATATATATATATATATATATATATATATATATATATATATATTTTAAAAAATCTTTATTGATAAAAAAATATAGAGACACCAAGCGCAGTACTTTCATGTTTAAATTTTAATAAGGAGGGATAAACCTTTCTCTCTCCCTCCCTCTCCTCTCTCTCTCTCTCTCTCTATATATATATATATATATATATATATATATATATATATATATATATATATATATATATTTTGTTTATTTATATTTATATATATATATATATATATATATATATATGTATGTATATATATATTTCCTTTTTGCTTTCTTTTTTTTATATATATATATATATATATATATATATATATATTAACCTGTTCTTAATCTGTTAACATCTATCAATCTATGTTTATATATCTTTCACAAGAACGCAACCTATCCCTTTCTCTCTCTCTCTCTCTCTCTCTTTCTCTCTCTCTGTCTCTCTAACTCTCTTTTAGACGCGTGTCTTCTCGCCCTGTCTGTATTGTCGAACGAGTTGCAAACCAAAGGTTTCGGGAATCTAAGCACATTGATAAATCTGTTCATTTCTTCAATTCTTTCTGAAGAAGTTACCAAACGTTTCCTTTGTCTTGCCGGACATTTAGCACAAAATTTGACCCTCCCCCAAAATAAAGAAGAGCGCTATCATTTTTTTACTTTAGAAAAAATAATTTCACAGTCTCAACTCTACGATATTTTTTGGTAGCATTTCGTCTCTCACCGCGTTACATCTCCTGCCATTTATTGTTTTTCAAATAATTGTCATGTGACAAATATGTAAAAGAGGATGGAAAATACGACAAGAAAACCTTCATTATCGAAAAACACATTCCAAAAGCTAAACAATACGTACCAAGAAAGATAACAATTTCATTAGAAAGAAAAAAGTTCTGAATTGCCATGTGATATCAAACGACTTTTATGGTAGTAAATTCTGGACAGTCCCTCCGAAGATGAATAGAAAAATAAATGTGGTTCTACAGAAGGATACTGAGAATTCCATGGACGGAGTGAGTAAGCAACGAAAAGAACACTAGCAATCAGAATTAGAAAGAGACAGATGAACTTTCTTGGGCATAATAAGGAAAGAAGGCATGAAGAACTTAATCCTCACTGGGCATATTGAGTGAAAGCAGAGGGAAATATACCTGACGAGCTTGGGCGGAACGTGGGGGGGGGGCGTCGGAAGTCTTGGAAAAGGGAGAAACACTTAAAAGCCATGAAGAACAGGAAGTTGTGGCGAGCAGTGAAGCATGATAAACATGAAAATGAACGCCATTGCTATATCACACGCATGCACACACGCACAAACATAAGCATATATATATATATATATATATATTGTCATCCACAGACAGACTGTTTCGCTGTATCACTGCTCATCAGTGTGTCTAGACATCCGGTTGCCTCTAGCTAGGATCAAAACCCGACAGAATTGGCCTCAGTCGGGGATTCTACCACTAAGCAGTTGGTACACGACAGGGATGAAGGTGAATTTAAGTGTATTTATTTTTATATAAACACACAGTAACTGAGAGAACTCGATTCGATTTACCGAAGAGTCTTGTATTATTAGCCGTAATAGTCATTGTTTACAAACCCACACTTCCTCCCCAGAGAGCTCAACCGAAATAAATTTTTCAGGAGAACACACACACACATATATATAATTATTTACATATATATATATATATATATATATATATATATATATATATATATATATATATATATATAAGCTTTTCACCCCAAGCAAGGCGGGAAGCCACTAGGACGCAAGGGGTTACAGAAAATTTGGAGCAAGATCAGATAGGAGGATAGAGGAAAGGATGAGGGTAGTGGATAGATCAAGGCAACTGGAGATGTCGATTGACATTACATTTGAATAGCTGGAGATTATAGCTCTCAGGGAAACTGGAAAAGGGAAGGAGTTCCACAGGCGAGAGGTGCGAGACATGAAGCTATTGGAGTAGAAGAGACGGCTACATTTAGGAGTTTCAACAGTGAAAGGGTGAGAGCGGGATGCCAGCCTCGTAGGGCGCTTGAACTTATAAAGTCTGGGAACCAGCGATTGCAGCTCCTCGGAGCAATTGCCATGAAAGTATTTGTAAAACAGAGAGAGAGAGAGAGAGAGAGAAAGAGAGAGAGAGAGAGAGAGAGCGACAGCGCGTCTGTGAGAAAGTGACTGTAGACGAGATGTATATATATATATATATATATATATATATATATATATATATATATATATATATATATATATATATATATATATTTAAGCAGCGTGCACCCTCTCTTGCAGTATGTAATTATGTACATCATGCAGCGTTTCTCAACCGGTGCACCCTGAAAGGTACCCCGTGTTCCTCAAGTTAAGAGAAAAGCAATTTATGAATTATTTTTATATTTAAAAAGTCTTTATTCATTAAAAAAAAAAAGAAGAAGAAGCTAAAGACACCAAGCTCATGACTTCCAATTCAATTCTTTGTCATTTGGTATTTTAAACTGGATGTTAAATTCTTTAATCTTTAATAAGGCGGGGAAAAATCCTTTCTTTTCTGCTTTCTTCAAGGCATAACATATAAGGCCTATCATTCAAAATTTACCAAGACACATCAAGCACAGGTTTCACACAAGCAGACTTAAATATACAATGTAATGTCTTAAAAATAAATGCTTATTTCAGGGGACTTTTTAAAATTATTTTTCTATTTTCAAATTTCATGATTAATTTTTCATGATTAAAATTGAAAGTACGTCCCTGAGTTTTAGTTATTCAACAACTGCGCCCTGAAGTAAAAAAAAAAAAAAGAAAAAGAAAAACGATTGAGAAACACTGATAAGATACATTGAACAAATAAAGCGTAAGAAACGAATTTGCAATATATGTCACATTTACTAGCATAAGTGTTCCGGTACATTTTGGGGGACTACTGCTCATTGAGACCATCTAGTGAACCCCTTTACGCATCGAAAACACTAGCAAAGTAAACGCAGAATTATACCCATCAAAAAACTTGAAGCCACTGAAATGATAAATAAAAGAATACTATAGTCAGAACATGTGAGCAACGAGGAAGTTTTAAGGAAAATCGAACAACAAGAAAACTGATACTTAGAATCAGTAAGAGACTGTTGCAATTTCTGGAAAACATAACGCGAAAAGAAGGTTTAGAACAGTGTTTCTCAACCTTTTTAAGTAACGGCACATGAAAATATTACGGCACCTTTAACCAAATCTTTAATGCGTATACATTTAAATATTATGAAGTAAAACAAAGAATGTTGGATACAATTATATGAAAAAATGGTTAATGTTCATTTATTCAAATAAAGGAATTCAACTTTAAAAAGTTAAATTAAAAAAATTAAAAAGAAAGTATTTCACATAACATAATCGAAGAATAGTGAAAAGAATTATTTGAAAAAAAGTTTAATAGTTATTCATGTATTCAAATACTAACGCTGTACTATTACTACTTACACACACACACACACACACACACACACACACACACACACACACACATATATATATATATATATATATATATATATATATAAGCAAAATATGGATATAGATCCGACAGTATGAAGAAAAAATATACTGAAAAAACAAACAAAAATCCTAATATGCGATTATGCTGTTTTAATGTTTAATGTCAACGTCGGACGTTTCGGTCTAATAGACCATCTTCAGGACATATTCATAAAACATAAACGTCCGACGTTGACATTAAACATTAAAACAGCATAATCGCATATTAGGATTTTTGTTTGTTTTTCAGTATATTTTTCTTCATATATATATATTGGGAATCATTGTTCAAGAAAATTTACCATTCACAGAACATCTTAAAGGTACCAGAAGCAGGGAGAAACGGCGAGTCACCTACTTAACAAGGATGGCAGAAAAGGAACAAGTAGACAAGGTTACTTAAAGCGAGAAAAAGTTTGTTGTGGAGAGCCATGATCGACAATGTTCTGAAAGGATATAGCAGATAAAAGAAGATAATATTCGTTATTGATTAAGCATAACGTGTTTGGCACAAGGTCAATGTAAAAAGGTATCTAGTGATTAATCATCTCATTACAAAGATTAGCTTAGTAAAAAAAAAAGCGAAAAAGAAACACCCAGTGAGGCTCGAACTCGCTATAGTAATAACAGACTGCTAAACTAGGTCGTTAACCAATACAGTCGGGTACTCAGCAGGTATTTACTAAAGTGTGTGGGGATAGAATTCGTTATATTATGAGACTAGCTTGTTAAGTAATATTCCACGGTGCAGAATGTAGTAGGTATTAAAATCTTTTCATTGTAAAAACTAATAAGAACTCGAGATTAAATTTCTCCTACGTAAAATTATTACTGACTAGCAGTAGGGCCCGGCGTTGCCCGGGGATGTAACAGTAAGAGATAGATCAAGTATCGACCGTCATAAAGACTGAAAAATAAAATTGACAAAGATTATTGTTTAAGGTTGACGGAAACGCATGTCTTAATTAGTTTTTTTTTTTTTACGTATTGGTCAAACTCAAACAAAAACATTGTTTTCAATCGTTATGAGTCTACCGATTAAATAGAATTTTATTATAAACAATTGTCTTGTAAATGGAATTTTTAAAGCATTCTGAATGTAAAAATAAAGAAAAAAGTGTGCAAGACTACCTGCCAAAAAAAAAAAAAAAATGAAGTTTTGTTGAAATCGGTTGAAAAATGTAGGAAATCCGATCCCATATATAAACGAACACAGACACACACAAACAACCTGGGTTTTATAAGTATAACTCGATATGAGTTGTCCCCCTTTCATTCTCGCGATGCCTCTTAATCGTGTTTTCAAATTGATTTCGTGCAAAAACAATTGTGTTTTTCCAATTTTTGGCGCTGTCAGAACCACCGCAAGGTAATTTTACGTAGTCCTGTGAAGTTTTGTTGAAATCGGTTGAAAAATGTAGGAAATCCGATCCAATATATAAACGTACAGAAAAAACACACACACACACACACAGAAAAACACACACACACACACACACACACACACACACACACAACCTGGGTTTTATAATAAGTATGATTCACCTTCGGGATTCGTCAATTTATATCGGTGAGTAGGTGTGTGCTTCTCCGAACTTGCTAGGATAGACTCTGTGTTTTCCCTCTCATTTTGACCGCTTTTTTTTTTATCTTTCTATTATCCGTTTGTCCCACACGCGCCCGCCCTAAGTATAGCTGGGTTGATCAAGTTTTACATGTCGGAGACATAAGATTATTAAACACTTTTGGTCCAACAAATGATTTTATTTTAAATAAGATATTAGCAAAAAAAAAAAAGAAAAAAATCTTGGACAACCCCAGATTTTTGAAGTGCAGTGAAATCCAGAAGCCCATTGGAATAACGAAAGACGATTTTCAAAAGCTAAGCAAAATATTAAGAAAGACGAAAAATTCCGTTGGAGGCAAAGTTAAGAGTGTGCAATTGTTATGTAATATCAATTCCCCGATATGACC